ATTTTTGCTGTCTGTTTCGGCATATATATGATTCCCTGCAACTTCTAAACTTAATTTACAGAGTTTTGGGTCGTCTTTACAGTCTCATTCTTCGTGGGTAACCCTGTATACATATATACCTGGTTTGAGAACACCCAATATATGTATATTCATTAATTTTCTTTCTTCCATTATTTCTTTAACTAATGATGGTACTCAGTTTTCTTCCACTTCAGCTGCAAGGAGAAGAACACGTTTTACTCCTGAAATGCCGTGGGGGGGGGGGGGGGGGGCAAAAAAGGCCAAATTAGGTCTTAAAGTTGCATTGAATTCTCAGAGGCCTGCTATGAAAAGTTGCATCGATTTTGAAGACAGATTCGACTTTAAAGTGTCCCTAAGCCTTGGGCTTCGAATTTACAGCTATCTCACTTATCCTTTTTTACATTTTAGCTTCATTTTTTAATTAAAAATTTTCAAAATTCTCATAGAGAGCTTTCAACCTTTCAATCACAGTGAAGCTAATGTTAATTTTCATTGATCCATTCGGCCAAGTTTTAGATTTCTTATTTGTCTCTCTGGATGTCTGTTTGTATCCAATAAACGTCAAAACTGCAGAACCGATGAGGCCCAATTTTTTTGTGGGACCTCACTTGACCACAGAGAGGGGTTATGGATGATTGAATTTTAAAAAATTCGCCTCTAACAAAATACGATTTTTGAAAATTTTGAAAATCAACGAAATTTTTTTTTAAAATCAACGAAATGTTTGTTTTACAATGTATACAAGGAGACAATGTTTACAATTGAAAAAGAAGAGGGGCGCGAAGCGCCCTGCAAGCTTAGTTTTCTAAAAATGAGAGCAGTAGTAATGCACAACAAAGATAGCAGAAGGGAGGGAGGATGGCCCAGATGGGGGTAAGCTTAAGAATTTGGTGTAAATGTCTAAGGCGCTTTTGTTCAATGATCCATGATGCATCAGCTTACAATTTTAACCGTTTTCTCTAAGCAGTATCGAAAATAAAGAAAAGTTAGTAAATTCTCGCCAAGAACAATGTGATGGAGGGAAACATAAAATGAATTGGATTTCAGATTAAAGGTTGAAACTTAATCCCATTTCCACAGATTAATGCTTTATCTACAACAAAACACATGAAGACCAAAACTTGACATAAATGTCTAGAAATTATAAAACAAAAAAAAGTTATGTCCTGAAATAATAAATTGAAAGATTTTTTGTTTTTGTTTTAATGTATTGATACTATTAATTTATTTTGGATGCGTGAGGGACTTCTTTCAGTTTAAACTTTATAAGTGATCATTATCTAAACATTTAAACATCTAAACATCTCCTCCATTGTTTCTTAACATCTAAACATCTCCTCCATTGTTTCTAAACATCTAAACATCTCCTCCATTGTTTCTAAACATCTAAACATCTCCTCCATTCTTTCTAAACATCTAAACATCTCCTCCATTGTTTCTAAACATCTCCTCCATTGTTTCTAAACATCTAAACATCTCCTTCATTGTTTCTAAACATCTAAACATCTCCTCCATTGTTTCTAAACATCTCCTCCATTGTTTCTAAACATCTAAACATCTCCTCCATTGTTTCTAAACATCTAAACATCTAAACATCTCCTCCATTGTTTCTAAACATCTAAACATCTCCTCCATTGTTTCTAAACATCTAAACATCTCCTCCATTGTGTCTAAACATCTAAACATATCCGCCATTGCTTATAAACATTTAAACATCTCCTCCATTGTTTCTAAACATCTAAACATCTCCTCCATTGTTTCTAAACATCTAAACATATCCTTCATTGTTTCTAAACATCTAATTATCTCCTCCATTGTTTCTTAACATCTAAACATCTCCTCCATTGTTTCTAATCATCTAAACATCTAAACATCTCCTCCATTGTTTCTAAACATCTAAACATCTCCTCCATTGTTTCTTAACATCTAAACATATCCTCCATTGTTTCTTAACATCTAAACATCTCCTCCATTGTTTCTAAACATCTAAACATCTCCTCCATTGTTTCTTAACATCTAAACATCTCCTCCATTGTTTCTTAACATCTAAACATCTCCTCCATTGTTTCTTAACAACTAAACATCTCCTCCATTGTTTCTAAACATCTAAACATATCCTATCCTCCATTGTTTCTTAACATCTAAACATCTCCTTCATTGTTTCTAAACATCTAAACATCTCCTCCATTGTTTCTTAACATCTAAACATCTCCTCCATTGTTTCTAAACATCTAAACATCTCCTTCATTGTTTCTAAACATCTAAACATGTCCGCCATTGTTTCTAAATTAACAACTCGTAAGTCACTGTATAGAGAAACCACAATTGAAAAGAATTATGTTCAAACAGTTTCAACTAAATTAAATCAATTAAATCTAATTGAGTCAATTCAAATTAAGTTTTTATTGAAACTTCTAAACAAAAAAATGGTAACATATTTTTTAATTTCGCTTCTGTTTACAAACAAGACAGGAGGGGAATATCAAATTTATCCGACATAACTAGTACTCCTCTGTGACCTCGTAGCTCCTTTAATTTTATTTTACGTACACGTACGAGAATAGATAATTTATTCGGTTAGATATTACAAATTCAAAACATTATTTATCTGTACGCAATAGTTATTAATTAAGAGGAGTTGTTACAAGCATATAAGATGTTAATCTTATATTCAATATACTTTAGTTTGACGTAGAGGTAAAATAACATATCATGACGTAATTTAGATTGAATTACATCGTGTACCTCAAACTTAAAGTCTTTTAATGGCTGTTTGTCCAATAAAAGAGTTTACAGTTGCATTACTCAGAATTATGGGAGCAATTCCCTCAGTTTAAAAATGTCTATCCAGGAAGCAGCTTTTAGCCGAGTGCTAGACGGCTTTTAAAAATCCACGGTCTTTGCCTGCACGACACTTTACCTAGAATATAATCTTAAATCCATTAAAAGTTCTCTGATGGGTTACATGTTAAAGAAAACAACTGTGTGAAATTAAACTTTCAATTTAAAATAATTACCAAACATTAACAACAAAAAAAAAAGGAAATTAGACTTATTAAAAACCTGTATAGAAAATGTGTACTAAATACAATTTAAGATTCTAAAATTTACACAAAAAGCAATTGAGTATTTGCCACAAACTCTGATTTTCGATTCCCTATATCTTTGCAACACAGATGTCCCCTTTGATATTTTAAACTATAAATTCTGTTAGATTTCTATTTAAAGATTGCAAAGATGTAGGGATCAGAAAATTTGAATTTGTGGCATATAACCAAAAAAACTCTAGAAATGTTTACATACAGAGCGTCCCATATCAAATTAGATTATCTCCGATCTTTAACACTTAAATACGCACATAATATTCGAAAAATCTAGCATTTTCTGCAAAAAAAAAATTATATTAGCCTTATTAAATTTTTCAAAATGATTCATTCTTCTTAAATTTTCTGATTTGTCCCCCAAATCGTAATTTAGACCCATTGACGCGGTCTAATTTGATGTGGGACACCCTGTATGTTTATATCGTATACAATGTTAAAACTAACTTATTTAATCATAATCAACCAATCACAAATTAATCTAAAACCTTGTTTTTTTCTATTTTTAAGGAAAATGGTTAACTCGTCTTTTGTGTGGAGCCGATTGCTTCTTTAGAAGTCTGTTAATTTGAGTTTACTAAAAACGTATGCACTAAAAAATCGGACAACAAATTGCCTTGACAAAACCCCCCCCCCCCCATCAGCTGAATCTTAAAAACTATATTTATAGAAAATGTTCTATATATTCTGTCTTCGGATAGAATTTCTTCTTCAAGAATACTAAATAGGAGAAATTCATCAATCCAATCAGGAAAATGGTACACTGCAAACTTTACACAGAAGAAGGTAAAATTACCAGTATAGCTTTGTGACCTTATTGCTTCTCTAGCGTAATTGATTTTAAGCAGTGCGTATAAGCGAACATGTGTAACCGACAAAAGAATTGAGCCTTTGCCACTAACTCATATTTTTGCAACACAATGTCGTAGACCTTAGATATTTCAAACTATTAATTAAATTAGAACGCATAATTTAAGTTTAAAATATGAATGGTTTATACCATCAGATTGCTAAGATATAGGGATTAAAATTTTTAAATGGGGCAATGTCTTAATTCCTTTAATATCTTTCATATTGGAAAATTCAAAACATGTTTGTTCTTCTCAATAGCTCTTCAATTGAAGAGTTATGAATATGATTGAAAACAAATAAGAAAAATTACCAAACTAAATTTTAAAAGGGTTTATAAAATAATTTTGATTTAAAGATATATATTTCCTGATTTCCAAATCAGAATTTTTAAATTTTTAATTCACTTCAAGATATTAAGAAGTTTCTTGTCAAACCCATATTTTATCAGTGATGGGGAAAAGAGATTCAAATTATAAAGCTTTTGATAACAAATTGAGTTATGGCTTTAAAATTGGACTTCGGTCTTTTTTCAAATCTTAAATGAGTTTCATCTTATTTATAAATCACACAGTTTTTAAAATTCTGATGAGATTTGATAATAACAGCGCACACCTCTGCCCCTTTCGTAAAAGTAAATTAAACCTATATGAAGCATAAAGTCTGACCGCGTCAACCTTGTTGCACCGGCTAGTCCTGTCCATAGAGCTGTACAGTACTAACTGGGACCCAGCACGGAAATTCAAATGTACTACGGCTGCCCGTAACAGTACGTAAAAATAAGCTAGGGGGCTTATCAGAAATTAAATGTCAGTTATAAAAATCTAAGAAGTTATCTTAGATTTATTGGTTATTTTTTTAATGAATCAGAGAAAAATGCTCAAAAGTTACTATAAAATAAAAGAACGTTACATAAAATTATCGAAAAAAATTGTAATCCATTTAAATAAAAAAAATCTATCAGACTAAAATCTAAACAATTCAACGATTTTTTCAAAGAAGAAGCGTCTAAAAAAATTTACGATTAAATTCAGAAAACAGGTTTATTTTTATTTACATTTTAAAACAAGATTGCTACAAATATAACATAGATCATGCCATGGGAAATCAGTCTATATACAACCCTGACATGCTGGGAATCAGTCTATTGAACAACCATAACATGACGATATTTCGTCTCCGTAACACTTGTAACAAACTAATCTGCAAAAAACATGGTTTCTCTGAGTTTATGATTGCGGGAATGTTTCTTTGATTTTCTCCTGAGTTTGACCGCATCTGAATCCTGAAATAAGCAGTCTATATACTTTGCTTGTCTGTCTGTCTGTCTGTCAATCTGTCAATCTGTTTGTTTGTTTGTATCCAATAAACGTCAAAACGGATGAACCGATCGTGACCAGATTTCTGTGACCCCCGGAAAGGTTTATGGTTGATCAAATTTTCAAAAATTTGCCTATAAAATTTTTTTGATAATCCACGAAATGTTTGTTTCTGTAAATCCGGGGAAGGTTTATGGATGATCGAATTTTTGAAAATTTTGAAAATCCACGTTTTTGATAAAATCCTCGAAATTTTCGTTTGCTTTCGTTTTACAATGTATACAATTGAACAAGAAGATGGACTTGCTAAAAGCCTAGTGTTATTTTCGAAAATTATGTTTTAAAATTTTTATTTATGATTAATCAGTAATTACCCTGCTATCTATCTGATCCAGAGAGCTCGGCACATCAGAGTCCAGCAGTTGGAACACTTTACTCTGAATATATTATTATTATTATTATTATTGTTATTATTATTATTATTATTATTATTACTATTATTATTATCATTATCATTATTATTAATATTCTCATTTTTGTTCTTATTCTTTTTCTGATTCTTATTCTAATTCTTGTTCTTGTTCTTGTTGTTGTTCTTGTTTTTGTTCTTGTTCTTGTTCTTGTTCTTGTTCGCTTGTATTCTTGATCTTGTTATTGTTTTTCTAAAAGAAACTTATTCTTATACCTTAACTTATTCTTATTTCTATTTTAATCCTTTTCTAACTGCTATTCTTATTGTTCTTTTTATCTTTATTCTTATTCTATTTTTTTTTTTACATTCTTCTAAGCGTTTTTTAGGAATATTTAACATTTTGAGCGTTTACTTTCAAAGTTTTTCTTCAGGCTGGTTTGAGTGGATTGACGAAGAAGACTGTACAGTTTCTCACGTTCCCTAATAGTCTAAATATTTTTAAATATTAATTTTCAGAAATGCGACACATGTTCGTTCATTATTTTTTTCAAGGCCTGTTCAAAAATGTAAATTTTCTTTTAATCTATATATATAAATATTCTAAGTAATCTCTGTTTCTCTGTCTGTCTGTCTGATTGTTTGTTTGTCAGAACATAACTCAGAAACCCCTGAACCAATTTGCCTCAAATTTTGATTGGAGGATTCGGGAGACCCACGGAAATGTTCTTAGATTGATTTAAAGATTCTTAGTTAGTGGGTCGACTTTAATAGCGTTCAAGTGCGGGTAAACGGCGGGAGTAACCGGACAAACAGACAGACAAGCAACAAATGAATCATGTTGTTGTTTACCTCGTATAGATCGGTGTTTTCAAAATATCTCTTCACCATCCAGGCAGTGTCAAATGTCCTGCAGTACGGGAAGTTTACAAACAAACAACATGGAAAAATTACGAAATGCTATCATAAACTTTAATTATAAATGCTTTTAAGAAACTCTAGATCTCCTCAGAATCACTTTGTATAATATACAGGGCTACCTGGAAAGGATGAGAATTTAATGACGACCTTACAATCTTTAAAATATAACGTTCGAAGGTTAGATTTGGTCCTCTGCCTTGAATGTAGTCTTTTATAGCTGAATTATTCGTCAAAGAATGAAACAAGTTTCCAGCTGTTGGGAACCAAAGATTATGAGTAAAATTCCGTCCTGTCGTCTTTGAAGTCTTATCCTTTGGGGGTTACCCTGTATGTACAAATTTATAAACAGCTTTACGTAAAATATTTGTTTAATTTGCAATTCCACCATTTTGGGATTTTATTTAGGTAAGAATTTTTGTTGAAAACATACAGTTCGTTACAGGAGCGTTGAAAGATTGTTACAGGATTGTTAAAGGATTGTTGAAGGATTGTTACATGATCTTTACAGGTTCGTTACAGGATCGTCAAAGGATATTTTTAGTAGTGTAAAGGGATCATAGAATGCACATATTTTATACTTCAAATTCCTGGGGGTTATTAAGTATTCTTTTCCTGGGATAATTTTAATAATTAGTCCAACACAATTTGTCTTCAGGATGACTAGACATTTATGCAAACAGTAAAATATTAAACTTTGCACTTTTACCATATCAGATATTAAACTCAAAGGGAAATCAAACGAAAAATCATGGATTGTAAGAAAATGAAAATGTTACAGTAATGATGAAAAATGTGGATCGAGCATAAATCTTTAAATGTGAGGGCACAAAAGTTCCGGGAAAGTCCCATTAAATTATCTTTAAAAAAAAAAACATTTTATATTGAGATTTAAAACATTTGGTAATATTTACAAGTTGTAAAATTTGTAAAAGTTTTTAAAATTGTAAAAAATGTAAAAGTTGTAAAATATGTAAAAGTTATAAAAGTTGTAAAAGTTGTAAAGTACCCTAAAAACCCCTGTCCTATTCCGGTACCCTCAGGCCAGAACGGCTCCAAAAGCGAGTCTCCAACTAATCCTTAAAAAAATAATTTTAAGTTTATGGAATTAAAAATACATCAAAGCATATCTCACAACTCAAAATCGATCCTGAAAGCCAATAATTAATAATTTCTGTAATTTTTTTTGCAGTTTACAATAAAAAATCTCGAATACGGTTAAAAGTCTTGTACTTTATTAACCTGTTAGAAGCGTGAATCCTCTTCGCTGAATAATCCTGCTGGCATTTTGGCTCCGATACAGGTTGGTAAAATCAAATATTGATACATCCTTTACACCCTGTGCAAACATGAGAATTAGTTTATTGTCGGTGAAATGAAACCCTTTACTTAAATTCTTAAATTCTGTGAAGAAATCATTGTAAATCATTGTTTTAAACCTCTAGACGTAAAAAACAGAAAGAATAAATTGTTTGTGTCCTCTGTAGTCTCTTTGGGCTGTACATTTTCAAACTTTTTTCAAGCCATTCTTTTTTAAAGTTACCGACACCGTTTGTTAACGAACTTTTTTTAACAGTTTAACGAGCCTGTAACAAGTCAAAGAATATCAAAGGGTATACAAGTTTAATTGTTATTTTCTGTAAGTTTGTTCTTGTTTATTTTTCCATCATGATAAATGGTTATTTCCATTCTTTAACGGTTTTAAAATTAAAAGGTTTTTGCCTAGCCCTAGTTCTTAAACTAAATACCCAAGCTGCCGAATACAGGGGTAGCCAGAAAACAGTTTATTATTGTCATCCTTTTTATTTCTCTTTATTGCATGAGAAAACAATAAGAGTACAAGGATACCAGTCTAGTCTACATCATACCAGACTGTCTAGTGACCCGGTCTAGTGGTACAGTACAAGGATACCAGTCTAGTCTACATCATACCAGACTGTCTAGTGACCCGGTCTAGTGGTACAGTATACAAGATGCCAGTCTAGACTACATCATACCAGACTGTCTAGTGACCCGGTCTAGTGGTACAGTACACTTGATGCCAGTGTAGTCTACATCATACCAGACTGTCTAGTGACCGGTCTAGTGGTACAGTACAAGGATGCCAGTCTAGTCTACATCATACCAAACTGTCTAGTGACCCGGTCTAGTGGTAAAGTACACTTGATGCCAGTCTAGTCTACATTATACCATGACTGTCTAGTGACCCGGTCTAGTGGTAAAGTACACTTGATGCCAGTGTAGTCTACATCATACCAGACTGTCTAGTGACCGGTCTAGTGGTACAGTACAAGGATGCCAGTCTAGTCTACATCATACCAAACTGTCTAGTGACCCGGTCTAGTGGTAAAGTACACTTGATGCCAGTCTAGTCTGCATCATACCATGACTGTCTAGTGACCCGGTCTAGTGGTACAGTACACTTGATGCCAGTCTAGTCTACATCATACCATGACTGTCTAGTGACCCGGTCTAGTGGTAAAGTACACTTGATGCCAGTCTAGTCTGCATCATACCATGACTGTCTAGTGACCCGGTCTAGTGATACAGTACAAGGATACCAGTCTAGTCTACATCATACCATGACTGTGTAGTGACCCGGTCTAGTGGTTGACCCAACGTGTTTTATAAACTGAAAATTTGGCTGGCCAAATTATAGTAAAAGGTTACCCACAAGAATATACTTTTTTGACGACCATAAAGCTCGTTAAATAGAATTTTCTAAAGCTTAATTTCTGTCTTTTCCTTTAAAAATATCTCTGAAGTCTCAAACTGTGTGGAACATTTTCCGAAATGGATTTGTTATAACATTAAAGAGTCACAAAACCACAGAAAATTTCTAAATAAAAAAAAAGAAAGAGGACGAAAATCAGTACCACCGTTTTCTGGTTATCACCGTGCCGCAGTGTTACAAATTTTAACAGATTTCCTTTGAGTTTGAAAATATTGAATTCTTGGAAAACATCTTCCATATATTTATCCCTTTGATAAATGGACTTCTTCTGCTAGCCTATACAACTAAATTTTGTTGAACATAACTATAGAATAGGATTTATAAAGGGGTCGAGAGAGCTAACAGGGATTAAGGATAATTGTGTTGAAGGGTTTGTTAGATTTCTGACGGAGCACTTGTCCTTTTAAACTTTTATTCTCGAGAATAAATGATTGTTTTGATTATTTTTAAACTGTGGTTTCTATATAGAAGTGGAGATAATTGTCAGAATTTATCACTTTTCAAGCTAGAAAAACGGAAATATCTTTGACGTTATTGATCAGATAAAGGTTTAATGAAAACCGTTATGCAACAACTCTTTTTTAACGGTAGCTGTCAATTTGAAATATACCTTCCACTCCGCGAAAGGACGACGAGGAAGCTGTTTTGAGAAATGAGCTGTGGCAAATTCAGAAGCTTCCTAAACAAACAGTTTTTAAAATCAAATGTAGATATTTGTTAGTTTCATTCTTTATTTAAAATGCATGGCAGGCAGAACATTGCATTGTTTAAAGCTGACACGTCTGTTTATGATACAGGGTGTCCCAATAAACATGGGATTTCAGTGACGAATATTCGATATCGTCTTTTAAAATAATTCTTTGATTTAGTATAGTGATACCTACTGAGAAAGCTGTAATCTGTAAGGGTTTCGACTTTCGTCTGCTATGTTCACATTTTGTTTGTTTATAATTGACTGCAGTATACGGTTGTACTTAGTAAAAAAAGAAAATTGCTGTATACAAACAGAGTAAACTTGTCCGTCTTCACTGTTCATCTTGCGGAGACATTATAGACACATCTTTGCAGTCTTTTACCCTTTTCATGAAATAAACTCTAGCAGACATAATATTAAGGCTTTTGAAATTAGGTATTACAATGCTAATTCATAACAAAGACGATATCGAATTCATCACTGATTTCCCATGTTTTTTTGGTACACCCTGTAGATAAAAAAGTTAATTATGTTCATGGATGAAATTTAATAAGATGATTTAGAAAATCCATATAGTAAAAGTACGGGGCATAATTGTAATTAATGTTCGTAGTTTTCCATAAAACCACATTTTTGTTTATTTTTATTCTAAAATTAAATCTTGATAAGCGCAAAGCAAACAAATAAAACCATCTACTGTTTTCAAATGTGTATAAATGTTAGATAATAATCTAAATAACTTTGACATAGAAACAATTTAATTTCATTTGGTTGAAGAGCTAGTAAACTTTATACAACTTTTACAACTGTTATATACAAGTTTAAATTCAACTTTTCAGCGCAGGGCAGCCCAGGGCACATACATTATACAGTTAGGGCAGCCCAGGGCACATACATCATACAGTTAGGGCAGCCCAGGACACATACATTATACAATTAGGGCAGCCCAGGGCACACACATCATACAGTTAGGGCAGCCCAGGGCACATACATTATACAGTTAGGGCAGCCCAGGGCACATACATTATACAGTTAGGGCAGCCCAGGGCACAAACATTATACAGTTATGGCAGCCCAGTGCACATACATCATACAGTTAGGGCAGCCCAGGACACATAATTATACAGTTAGGGCAGCCCAGGGCACGTACATCATACAGTTAGGGTAGCCCAGGCCACATAGATCATACAGTAAGGGCAGCCCAGGGCACATACATTATACAGTTAGGGCAGCACAGGGCACATAGATCATACAGTTAGGGCAGCCCAGGGCACATACATTATACAGTTAGGGCAGCCCAGAGCACAAACATCATACAGTTAGGGCAGCGCAGGGCACATAGATCATACAGTTAGGGCAGCCCAGGGCACATACATTATACAGTTACGGCAGCCCAGAGAACATACATTAAACAGTTAGGGCAGCCCAGGGCACATAATTCAAAACTTTACTTTTCATGTTTTAGTTATTTAGATCTTTAAAAGAAGATTCCAAAAATATCTTTAAATTTTTTCTAGCAAAAAAATTGACAATTTTATAGATTCAAAACTAAATTACAGGGTGTTCTTTTGGGTTTTTTCCGAATTCAAAATCTTGTTTTTTTGGGTTTTTTAAAATTGAAAATAAAATAAAAAACCCAATTTTGAATTTACGTCAAATATAAAATATGTTTTGAAAACAGGAAATCTTAAGGAAAGCGCAGGAAAAGATAAGACAACATTTAGTTTAAGAAAAAAGGCACTTTAAAAAAAAACCCTCACCCGGTCAAAATTGACCTTCTCGTCACTAATGGGTTAAATATACTTCTTGTAGCCCAAGACATGACCATTTTTATACTATAAAGCACTTAGCTTATTTACAGAAATTCTAATCGATTTTGACAGCAGATTTTGCAACCTTTGGGTTGCATCTGCTGTGGTGAAAAAAAATGAGTTATACATTAATATGCATTATTTAGATGGAAAAGGTTGAATCAAAAAAAAACGTTTTCTAAAAATATACTTCGAGACATTTCCACGGCGATGTGAATATCCGTCCTTATAGGTGTGAAAAGATCCCTATATAGTCAACATTGTAATCTCTATAAATAAATAAGCCAAGTATTTTAGCGAATACCCAACGTGTACTGTATACACAAAAAGAATAGAATATATATTAGAGTGAAATTTACTTGAAAAAAATTTAAAACGGCCATTTTGTTGTACTGTTTCAATACTGCAGGTGTACTTCACATATTTATGCTATATAACCTTTTAGGCCCTGGAACATCATTTAATATAAAATCTAAAATTAATATTAAAAGAAAACCAAATTATGAAATAGGCTGGTTTCATAATTGACCAATGATTATTTCACATAGACTCTATGCCTTTCACTTTACAAACGATGATTTTCCGTTATAACTATAAATCAAATGATGTTTTTTATTCACCTAATTCATTTTATAAAGTTTTATTAACAGCTTTAAAAAATTCAAAATTGAAATAGATAGTCTAGGGAATATACTGTATTAATGTACTCTACTGCATATAATTTGTGAACATTTACATGATTTGTACACTTTGAACTCCCTTTCAGGCTAAAAGGAACTGAAAAAATTCATACCGAGAGAATGTCTAAATTCCACTCTAATATATATTCTATTCTCTTTGTGTATACTCTCTGTATACTGGATTTTATTTAGGTGGGGAGGTTTAAAAACCAACTGTAAACCAGAGATTTTACTGATCTAGGGCCGGGGAAGGGCCCTTGTGTGCACCAAGAAACAAGGAAGAGGTGAACAAAGTGGATGCTATGTTTTGCTGTGACAAATTAGAAATACTCAGAAACCAGTTTTATTGTAAACAAACAACAGTTTATTGTAAACAAACAACAGTTTATTGTAAACAAACAACAGTTTATTGTAAACAAACAGCAGTTTATTGTAAACAAACAACCGTTTATTGTAAAGAAACAACAGTTTATTGTAAACAAACAACAGTTTTTTGTAAAGAAACAACAGTTTATTGTACACAAACAACAGTTTATTGTAAAAAAAACAACAGTTTATTGTAAACAAACAATAGTTTATTGTAAACAATGATTGCCCAGGCCGGGCCTCCTGTCCTGACTAAGAATTTTGACCTATGTCTACAATATTATTTGTTTGTCTTAAAATAAACCCGTTTCTTCTTTATATTCATATTGACGTATGATTTGAGATTCAGGGTTACTTACAAAGGATGAGGCTGTAAAGACGACATAAAACTTTCCAAAAAGTACAATCTCAAGGTGGAATTCAACTTAATAACTTAAAGGATTTTGAATGGCTTATTTAATGATTAGGCAAAGAAAGAAACAAGTTTAATATTGCGCGCAGGGAATAGTAAATATAACAGATTTGATGAATTCCGTAGAGTCGTCTCTGAAGGCTCATTCTTTGTGAGTAACCCTGTATTTACCCTCGCATATTCTTCCAGCTTTTTTCGGTTTACGTTTTCAGGTCTTAGAAGTTCCATTCTTTCTCCTAGGAAATATTATTATATACTATTATTATTATGATTACAATTATTATTGTTATTATTATTATTATTATTACTATTATCAGTATTATTATTGTTGTTGTTGTTATAAATATCAATATGAACAACAACTAAATGAATTTCAAGAGTAAATAAAAATATATTTTTTCCTCTAAAAGCATTTTCCAACATTTCCCCTAGCTAAGAAATCCCCAGGTTGAAAAGGGAGGATAATGTATTTTAACATAATTAAGAACCGCAAAATATTTCCACTTATTAACAGCGAGAAATATTCCTTTGATAGTTGGTAGGAATTCAGAGTGCTTCGCGTCCTTTTAGCCAGATATGTACGTTAAAGCTTTTTTCTAAGGTTTTGAAAAGTGAATTTTAAGCTACCAGTAAACCTATTATCTTTGTAACAACATCAAATACAAATAAAATTAATTGATTATCTTTTTGGTTCTCACTGTAGTTGTCATGTACCTAGGTCTCTGTAGAGAACTCCTTTTCTTAGTAAACTCTCCTTCTTGGCCGTCATCACAAAATAGTGTGTATCTCCTAAACCATGGAAGAAATTATCATCATGTGAGTAATTTTCAAACCGGGCCGACTTTGAAGTGTTGTCATTCCTTTTCACATGGGTTGGCTTTTCCACTTTACAATGGTACAACACAATCGTCAAACTGTATTTCTTATCTTTTCAATTAAATGGCAAAAGAATAAAGTTTCTGCAACAATCTCTGATTTTATATCACCCTATCTCTGCAACCTGATGATGTAAACATTTGATATCATAATATCAACATAATTTATATGAAATATCAAAGAGCTATGCCTTTGGGTTGCGAAGATAAAGGGATTAGAAAATCAGTGTTTGTGGCAAAAAATCAGTTTCTTTAGTGGTTTTGAAATACAATTTACAAAATCCAGTCACATCGCATTTAACAAGTATATATTTGAATCTTTAAAATCAAGGTTTAGCTTAAAACAATGTAAACTGCTAAACTAATTGTTTCCCAAATATTATTGAGGGTAAAATGAATTGATTGATTGAATGTGATTGATTAATTAAAAGAAATGGAAAGGAGAGGATAGGGGTATATATTAGGGTACATGTATAACTTAACATTACTGTTTGAAAATAAAATATAATAATTGCAATACATCAATTTCTCATGAATAAGTTGTCATTAAATAATGATATAGTACTTGATAATCGGCATGTAAAGTTTAGATTTAATTTGAACTGATTTGAGACTTGAGGTTGGATAAATAAATAAAATTAATGAGAATAAGAGTATAGTGTATGTATAGTCTATATAAACTAAGTATATATTACTACATCTATATATGTATAAAGTATAGTGTATATAAACTAAGTATATATTACTACATCTATATGTGTATATAAACTAGGTATATATTACTACATCTATATATAAAGTATGGTGTATATAAACTAAGTATATATTACTACATCTATGTATAAAGTATATGTATATAAACTAAGTATATATTACTAAATCTATGTATAAAATATGTGTAAATAAACTAAGTATATATTACTACATCTATGTATAAAGTATGGTGTATATAAACTAAGTATATATATTACTACATCTATGTATAAAGTATATGTATAAAACCTAAGTATATATTACTATATCTATGTATAAAGTATAATGTATATAAACTAGGTATATATACTACATCTATGTATTAAGTATGTGTATATAAACTAAGTATATTTTACTATATCTATGTATAAAGTATAATGTATATAAACTAGGTATATATACTACATCTATGTATAAAGTATGTGTATATAAACTAAGTATATATTACTATATCTATGTATAAAGTATAATGTATATAAACTAGGTTTATATTACTACATCTATGTATAAAGTATAGTGTATATAAACTAAGTATATATTACTACATCTATGTATAAAGTATGTGTATATAAACTAAGTATATATTACTACATCTATGTATAAAGTATAGTGTATATAAACTAGGTATATATTACTACATCTATGTATAAAGTATGTGTATATAAACTAAGTATACATGGAGTGAGCCTGACAAAAGAATATTAGATGACAAGAGTAAGACTAGATATAAGCAAGATAAAAGAAAATAAAGGAATACACTTTAGAGACTAGATTTGAGAAAAACAGCACTATTTTTAGTTTTCCACTCATCTTTGCTTCCCCTCCATCTCCTCTCCTCAATCAACTTCCTTTACCCTCCCCTCCTCCCTTCCCCATCTTCTTTCCCCCCAACTCTCTTCTCCCTCCCCCTCCTTCCCCGTGTTAATTAGTGTACACTGTGTAATGTACACAAATTTGATGATTTATTTACCAAACAATTAGTTTTATCTTCAAGACAAGAAAAATAAAAAGCTTAAAGAATGTTATGGAAAATCTACAGGGTTACCAACAAAGAATGAGATTGTAAGACGACATAAAACTCTTAAAAATGACGATCTAAAGGTTAAATTTAAGTCTTCCGCCTTTAATATAGTATTTTGATAGCTTATTAAATGATTTAGCAAGGACAGAAACAAGTTAACAGTCTTGTTGCATGGAATCATGAATATAAAGAAGCAGGCAGTATTAATTCCGTATAGTCGTCTCTGAAGTCTCATCGTTTATGTGGGTAACCTTGTAACTGAAAGTAACTTTTAATTCTGATTTTTCTTATAATAGGCATTGCATGATTTCCTTGCTTTCATTCAAAATATTTAATAACAGATGATAATTAAGTTGGCTTTTGTTGAGCTTTAAACTTTGTGTAATTACTGACAAGCATTTCTTGATACTTTTCGAATTTAATCTTAAGTAACCCTCCATTCATATGTAAAGTAATATGTTCTATTCACAACGGTACTCTTAATGGCTGATGGTTATGACTGTTTATATTGTTTAAGATAAGTTAACATTTTTTTAAGCTAAGAAAACAACGATATCTTCAACATTGTTGATCAGATAAAGGTTTAAAATATACACTGTCATAAAATCAGACATATTCCCCTATTTAAATGGAGCTGGTCATTTTAAATGACAGAAACGGTCCCTTTAAGGGAAAAGTTTGCATTTACCTTTTTTGCAGGATGCTGTGCCATTTAATTCAATAGAACATTTTGCAAAATATAATTTGTTTGTTTTAATAGTTTTACCTTGATAGTAAACAATGTTTTCAAGTTTAATTCCTCGTTCCCGTTCTAGAGATGAGAAAAACTGGAGATCATACTGTTTAGACAATCCTAAAATATTTCAGGGTAAAAGTTAGGGGCATTTGCCCCACTCTGGACCCCACTCTCCCCCCCCCTTCTGGTTCTCATTCTTAAAGCTCTAAAAATAATCAATCTTTAATTTATTTAAATATCTTGTGTTAACAACAATTAAAATAAATTAATTACTCGCCCACAATATCTATTTTCTAACCTCTGCAGTCTACATCGTTTAAAATATCAAAGGTTTGACAAAATCAGGTTATAAAGATAGGAAAAATTAAATTTTTGTTTGTGGCGAATAATCAGGTCATGTGATTCATAAAGGAACTGAAGTTCTCTACACTCGATACATATACTTTATTTTTGCAGATCCTTTTATTTTTGCAACTTGACGACATATAATTTTGATATTTCAATCTCAGATTTCTTATCTAACAGAATTTATTGCTTTAAAGATCAAAGGTCTACGACATCAGGATGACGAGATATTGGAATTAAAGATTAAAAATTCTGGAAAATATTCAATGCTTTCATTTCGTCTATCAAAACTAAGTCTGCAAATAAAGGTTTTGCCCAATTAAAAGTCGGAATATTTTTATTTAGGAACTTAAATTACACCTCCCATGCTTCTCAACAAATCCTTATTTTAGAGCTTAAATTACACCTCCCATGCTTCTCAACAAATCCTTATTTTAGAACTTAAATTACACCTCCCATGCTTCTCAACAAATCCTTATTTTAGAACTTAAATTACACCTCCCATGCTTCTCAACAAATCCATATTTTGGAACTTAAATTACACCTCCCATGCTTCTCAACAAATCCTTATTTTGGAACTTAAATTACACCTCCCAGGCTTCTCAACAAATACTTATTTTGGAACTTAATTTACCCCTCCCATGCTTCTCAACAAATGCTTATTTTGGAACTTAATTTACCCCTCCCATGCTTCTCAACAAATCCTTATTTTGCAACTTAATTTACCCTTCCCATGCTTCTCAACAAATCCTTATTTTGGGACTTAATTTACCCCTCCCATGCTTCTCAACAAATACTTATTTTGGAACTTAAATTACCCCTCCCATGCTTCTCAACAAATCGTTATTTTTTATTTTTATTTTTGTCAAATGTTCTTTTTGACTGAAGTTCATGGATCATTATATTTTTGTCTAATACAGTGATAGGCGATTATATCAATACAATGAAGACGACTTCAATCGATTTCAAATTTGATTTTGTATCAAGCTTTTCAACAGCATGGAGAAACATGAACATAGAAATCAAGAGAAGCTGTCAAATAACAAAGCTTCTCTTTGATTACTTGTACACCTGTAATTCGAAAAAAGCTTGAAAATCAAAACTTCAATATAAAAGTCGTCTTTCTTGTATTGATATAACCTGCCACTGTACCTGGAATTTCTTTAACACATTTCTCCTCCTCTGTATTGAAATTCCTAAATATTGAAGAATTATTTGAAAATGTCAAAATCCATCCAGTAAAAGGCCTGATATATGAACAACATTTTTAGACCTTTATATTAATTTATTCAGTTTTAATTATTTACATATTTAGCCATAAAACATATTTCTTATTATGAAAATTTCTTTGTCCAATGTCACAACTATCTGGCATTTTTTTGCATTAAAATACAAAACAAAAGTGACAAAAAGAGATTTTTTGAAAAATTTGATTTGGTTAAAAGGGTTAAATCTCTTACCTAAAATTAACTGTAATGGCAATTGCCATTTTTGCCTCTAAGCTCTGTCTTTCAAATCCATCAAGTGTAACTCGCCTGTAAAATGGAAAAAGCGTCAATATTAGTTTATATTAATCTGCGTTGATGGTTATTGGATTCAAACAGACGAAAAAAAACCCAATGTGTACTGTACCTGCTAGGTAAACCAATGTGTACTGTACCTGCCAGGTGTACAAATGTGTACTGTACCTGCCAGGTGTAACAATGTGTACTTTGCCTACCTGGTGTACCAATGTGTACTGTACCTGCCAGGTGTACCAATGTGTACTGTACCTGCCTGGTGTACCAATGTGTACTATACCTACCTGGTGTACCAATGTGTACTGTACCTACCTGGTGTACCAATGTGTACTGTACCTGCCAGGTGTACCAATGTGTACTATACCTGCCAGGTGTACCAATGTGTACTATACCTGCCTGTTGCACCAATGTGTACTGTACCTGCCAGGTGTACCAATGTGTACTGTACCTGCCTGGTGTACCAATGTGGACTGTACCTGCCAGGTGTACCAATGTGTACTATACCTGCCATGTGTACCAATGTGTACTGTACCTGCCAGGGTTAACAATGTGTACTGTACCTGCCAGGTGTACCAATGTGTACTGTACCTGCCTGGTGTACCAATTTGTACTGTACCTGCCAGGTGTACCAATGTGTACTGTACCTGCCAGGTGTACCAATGTGTACTGTACCTGCCAGGTGTACCAATGTGTACAGTACCTGCCAGGGTTACCAATGTGTACTGTACCTGACAGGTGTACCAATGTGTACTGTACCTGCCTGTTGCACCAATGACGACATCAAATTCTTCTTCTTCCTCAACAAACCCTCCATTATCACATTGAATATCACTTAGCACTACATTTATAGAAAATAATAATAATAATAATAATAATAATAATAATAATAATAATAATAACATTATAAAATAAGGATAATAATATTAATAATAATAATCGTAAAAAATAATAATGATAATAGTTATTACATAAAAATAATCTACCCGGCCAAGAAGAGGAAGATGGTTCTAGAATTGCTTTAAATGTTTGGCGAGGTTTAATCCGGACACCCAGTATCAGGCATATCTAGGATACAATATATTGGATACAATATATCTAGGATACAATATATAGAAAACAAAATATCCAGGATACAATATATCCAGGATACAATATATCCAGGATACAACTTATATAGGAAACAATATATCCAGGATACAATATATCCTGGATAAATTTTATATACAATACAATATATCTAGGATACAATATATCTAGGATACAATATATATGATACAATATATAAAGGATTCAATATATCTAGGATACAATACATCCAGGATTTAATATATCTAGGATAAAATATATCTAGGATACAATTTATTTAAAAAAAAGGAAAGTTGAGAAAGAAGAAAGAAAGTTCAAAAAGAATAGAACAAAAATTCATAAAAATGAAGAAAATGTGAAGAAATTTCTTAAATTAGATTTTCAATAAAAATCCTTCTTCTGCAGTATTTATATTGAATATTGAACAATTGAATAAACTTTTATCCCCCCTTCTCCCCCTCCCCTGTTCTCTCCTCTCATCCTATCTTCCTTCTCCTCCTCTTTTCTCCTTTTATCCCTCCTTCTCCTCCTCCCCTGTTCTCATCCTATCTTCCTTCTCCTCCTCTTTTCTCCTTTTATCCCCCCCTTCTCCCCCTCACCTGTTCTCTCCCCACCCTTTTTAGTTTGGACAAACTAAAGCTGTGTCAATCAAAATTGCTAAACTGGGACCGAGCATGAGCTGGAAAGATTTTAGCCTTTTTTATACTTTTTAAATTACATCATCACAAAAATTAGCTTAATTATCCAATTGTCCATGTACCTTTAGTAAGATCAGTTGAAGGGTTTTAATGCTTATATGATTCAGACAGCTTATTCCTAAACATCATCTTAAAAATTAAGATTTCTATTTTAAAGTCTAATTCCTAGTGACCCTCCATGCAAAGATGTCAATGTCAGATTAACAACGGTATCCTTAAAAGCTTTCACTGGTCAAATATGAATAAGATATCAAAGTCAACGATTTTGAAAAATAGTTATTTTCAAATGTTTCTACAAAAGTGACTTGCGCATTTCTACTGCAGAAAACATCGAGGAACTTTCAGAAATAACCATTTTTGAACCTGCAGTTTTATCCAGAACTTCGGAGAAATCGAAAGAATCTTTAAAATGTCGTCTTTTTTAATTTTTAAATGGGTTTTAAACTTTTATACCTAAATCTCAGAAATTGAAAAATAAATAAATAGCCATGAAATATGCGTGAACAGTTTAAAAGTGCTCCAAATGATCTAAATAACTGCAGCATTCAATTATCACTAGGTCTAGAAAACGACATTTCGTTAATTTGTTCGGTGTCTCCGAAGGTTTGGGTCAACCTGTAGAAACCTGACAATATCCTCTGCATTATTGATCAGATAAAGGTTTGAAGGATACAGTTGTGAATCGGGCATTGCCATCTTTGCAAGGAGAGTTCCTTTAAATTACGCTTACAGTCCCTTTCATCTTAATAAAAACGTTGTAAAAATTGTTAATTAAGTTGGAAAATCTTTATGTCTATTACACGATAGCAGATTTAAGCATTTTTAGCATAATTCTTGAAAGAATCTAGTTTAAAGCTGTCAGCTAGGAACAAAGAGCTGAGTCAGTAATTTCATAATTTTGACAGATTTCAAGTTAAAGGAGAATGGATTATGTGAAGCTTTTCATCTTTAAAACTCAAAACCAGAAACGGGAAAAAAATCGAATTTGATGCATATTTTTATCCTTATGACGTTTATTTAATTTTATTGTTATGAAATCTAAATTTTTTATTAACCACAACCACCACAACAAAATGGAAAATTGAAATTTGATACATTTTTTTATCCGATATTTTAGTTTTAGTTTTTGAGTTAAAAAGATATTTTGAAGATTGAAAAAATTTAGGTTTTTAACAATAACACAAAAAACAAATATTGTTTAAGATTCCTAAATTTGGGCAAAGCTTCTTGCCCCCTAGACCCTTGAGGTCCTCCACCACAAAGCTCCACAGCTTCAAGATATTGTTCCTAAAGATGTTCATCATACAAATATTCTATGTAAGCATGTAAGACTCGTTAAACTGTGGGATACGGATAGGAAGACGACTTTTAGACCCAAGCTATGATTTTAAATGGTTTCTCGTTCTTCTCCACTTTTAGTCATACCCACTCTACTTTTTTTAACATAAGTTTATTCAATTTTAGAATTCAAATTTATAGCCTATCTCCAGTCCAGTCATGTCTATTAAAAGAATGATGCATATAAAAGTAATTGTTGTAACCAAAAGAAGTGTTCTTTAAACTTCACGATCTCTTATATTATATATTATCAATTTTGTTCCTGTCAATATTTCGATATCTAGATACTAATTTGTTCTACTCCCCTCCCTTATCTTTCTACCCCCTCCATTATCTTTCTAGCCCCCTCTATTCCAGTTTTCCTGATATTTATTATATATTTCCCATCATACTTCAGGTTCAAAGGATTAATATTTAATTTCTAGACAAAATTATTCTTTATTTCTCGTCATTTTAGTTCATTTAACGGATTAACGTAGTTTTCAACTTTCAAATTTGAACCCAGAAAATTGAAAAAAATTACAAATGTAAAACTTTAATCTAAAAAATTATAAAATTATAAGTGAAAACCTAAACTTGCTCAATTTAAGTAAGAATTTAAATTTAGAGCCGATTTCCAGACAGCTACTGAACAAATGATGGGCTCAGTAACATTTTGCCTAGTACAAGTTCGCCTAGTACACTTTCGCCTAGTACTTGTTCGCCTACTAACTTTTTGCCTAGATAACATTTTGCCTAGATAACATTTTGCCTAAACACAGTTTGCCTAGACAACATTTCGCCTAGATAACATTTTGCCTAGATAACATTAGAAGGTAAATTTCGCCTAGATAAATTCACTAAAATTTATAAAGTTCCTCTTTTTTCTCAAGAAATTCAAATAAAAGCAAAAAAATGTATTATAATAATGTTTACAAATTTTTTCTTAAAGGGCACTAGCTGTTTGAACAGCGCCAATTATAAACTTTCTGACTACCAGGTCCATTGGATACATTTGAGAAATGTTGATTATCAATTTTGGCTGGTCTGCCTCGTTTGGTTTTCCCAGCCTGAATTAAGGATGTCATGTCGACATCAATGTCCGTAGAAAACTGAATGATTTAAACTACAAAAAAAAAATTGTGAAATTTTTACAGTAAAAATTGCGTATTTTTTGGTTCCAAAAGCTGGTTAATTTTAAGAATGTCAATCTAGGCGAAAATTACTCTCTAATGTTATCTAGGCAAAATGTTATCTAGGCAAAATGTTATCTAGGCGAAATGTTGTCTAGGCAAAATGTTATCTAGGCAAAATGTTATCTAGGCGAAATGTTGTCTAGGCAAAATGTTATCTAGGCGAACTTGAACTAGGCGAAAGTGTACTAGGCGAACTTGTACTAGGCGAACTTGTACTAGGCAAAATGTTACTGAGCCATCATAAAGTCCTTCATTTTAGCTAAACAAGTTTTCTTTTTTGCTTTACAGAGTCGTAAACTTTAATCTTTACATAATATAAATGCTTTGTTGTTTGTTTGTGTCCAATATACGTATAAACAGCTGAACCGATCGAACCCAAACTTTGTAAGCAACTCACAGGACCCCGGGGATGGTTTATAGATAATCAAAAGTTTTAAAATTTGCCTTGAAAAAATTAAATGATCAAAATCAAATAAAAAAATCGATAAAAAAGTAACCATTAAAACTTAAAATCGAAAGCCTAGTAGTGTAAACTTTTGTCTTATGTTGAGATTAGAATGAATCTCTTTTTTATGCTTTAACTTTGCAAAAAAAAAAAATTTTAAATGTTATAAGATATTGTGGCGCCCCTGGATTGTTAAAATATTTTGAAATTTTCCTCATCCAATATTTTAATATCTACTTTATTTTTGTAAATGATGATTAAGAAAGAATATTGTATAATGTTTCCTGTCAATGGATGAACGGGATTCAATAACTGTAGTCTCAGCTCCTGAAATATTTAATCCAATGACAAATTTGTTAAGCTTCGCGCCTCTTTTCATAGAACAATGATGTTTTCTTTGACTTATTACTAAACTTTAATTACTACTTTTTTTAATCCTATTTTTTCAAAGGATAAAAGTGATTACATAATCGTTTTTTCAAAATAAGGTTAATGTGACCGCATAAACTTTATTTCAAAATAGGGTTAATGTGACCGCATAAACGGTATTTCAAAATAGGGTTAATGTGACCACATAAACGATATTTCAAAATAGGGTTAATGTGACCGCATAAACGGTATTTCAAAATAGAGTTAAAGTGACCGCATAAACTTTATTTCAAAATAGGGTTAATGTGACAGCATAAACTATATTTCAAAATAGGGTTAAAGTGACCGCATAGACGTTATTTCAAAATAGGGTTAAAGTGACCGCATAAACTTTATTTCAAAATAGGGTTAATGTGACCGCATAAACTTTATTTCAAAATAGGATTAATGTGACCGTATAAACTTTATTTCAAAATAGGGTTAATGTGACCACATAAACTTTATTTCAAAATAGGGTTAATGTGACCGTATAAACTTTATTTCAAAATAGGGTTAAAGTGGCCGCATAGACGTTGTTTCAAAATAGGGTTAAAGTGAACTCATAAAGTTATTTCAAAATTGTAAGGCTATTTTTGCCTGAAAGGCTGGCACCGTTATTAAAGTTAAGTTCGTTAACAAACGGAACTTGAAAAAAGAAAGGAAAATACCGTTAACGAACGGAAACTTGAAGAAAGAAAGAAAAATACTTTCAGTTCTCAGCTAAAGACAGAACGGCTACCAGAAAAGTTGTTTGTTGAAAGGGTTAAACTAACTGTTAACGAAAGGCTTTAAAAAAGTCTAAGCATGCTCAGCCCTACCCCCCAACCTCGGCCCTTGCTTACCTAGTAGCTGAGTTTCCAGGGCTAACCGTAGGCCACAAGGTCCTGCTCCAATTATCAAAACTTTTTTTCCTGATAAAAAAATAAAATATAATTTTTTTTAATTATATCATTTCGGAAGAAAAAAGAAAGTAGTTGAGTCTTTGCCGCAAACTTAGATTTTCTAATCCCTTTATCTTTGTAACCCAATAACATAAACTTTAGATATTTTAAACTTTTTGAAATATCAAAGATTTGCGCAATCAAGTTGCAAAGATATAGAGATTATAAAAATTTAAGTTTTTGACAAAGACTATATAATTCCTTTGTAAACTTTCTCAGGATCTTGTTGCGTTTATGAATTTGTATAAACTCACCCCTACCCACCAGACCACCCTTATACTCTGGGAGATGTCGTCTTTTTTCCAACTTATCTAAAATATATATTGGCCCTGTAAGTATTGGCTTCTGACAGTCTCCTTGTTGAACATTGGATTTCGTTCTTTTTTTTAAGACATTTATAAAATATTTTCACTTTAAAAAAAATACCCCCAAAGTATTTAATTAAATACTATTTAAAAGTTTAATCCTGAGAGAGGATATTCGCCTGAACCAGATGAACGATCGGACATTTTTTGTTTAAAAACTTATCGCTAAAACGGGATAGAGGGGGGGGGGGNGAGGGGGGGGGGGTATAATGCGTTTATTGCGTACCTCTAGTTAGACCTAACTTATTTTTTGTTTAAAAACTTATCGCTAGAACGGGATAGAGGGGGGAGGGGGTATAATGCGTTTATTTCGTCCCTCTAGTTAGACCTAACTTATTTTTTTCAAGCATAATTATGTATCAAGACACTTTAACCCTAGAGTATTACCTAATAAATCGTTGAATTTGAACGAAACCTCACGCTTTACGAACGTTCTAATGAAATTACAGTTCTCTAGACTTAATTAAAATATAATATAAAAAAACAAGCTTTTCAGAACTTTATGCAGAGTTCACTACACACAAAAAGGCAAATATTTTCATATACGGTGGTTGACGATTATATCAATATAATAAAGATAACTTTCGATTTTTATTTTAATTAATATCAAATTTTTATACACAAAACATAGAAACAAAGAGAAGCAGTCATTAAGAAAAGCTTCTCTTTATTAACTTGTAAACTTGTAATTCGAAAAAAGCTTGTTTACAATTACAACTTAAATAAAAAAAAACTCGTCTTCATTATATGAATATAATCGCCTACCACCGTAGAAGAATTTTTTTGGTAGAAAAAGTTGAGCGAAAATGTATCCTCGTTTAAAACAATTTTTGACAAAAAAAAACAATTCATAGAACTGGACATCCCTGAAAGCTGGAAAGAAATTGTTGATATGTCCCGGAATTATTCCAATTCTTGAGATAAAAGTTTTGAAATCATTCAGAATTTCCATCATTTCTCTACCCTCTGTAATCTTCATAAACTCCTAAGCATAACATTTCTGAATTTAGGGTGTCGATGTAATTTTAGGTAATTCCCTCAATTTGAAAAGGGGTATGTTCGATGCACAACGGTAACACTGAAAAAGAACATGCATCATAAATTGCACATTTCTTCTTCAGAAACAATGGCGGACATTGTCAGAATTAAGCACTTTTCTAGTCAGTGGCGGAATTTAAAGAATTTGAGCGGCGGTTTAAATATATAAGATAAAACAATCTATTTTAAAATATTAAGGGGTTTACACCAACAGGTTGCAAAAGGCATAGGGATTAGCAAAGGAACTGAGTCTTTGTCACAAACTCATATGTTCTAATTCCTATATCTTTGCAACCTGATGGTGTAAACCTTTAATATTTTAAACTTAGATTATTTGATATATCAGAATACATAGTTTGAAATATGTCTACGACATTGGGTTGCAGAGATATTGGGATTAAAAAATCAAAGGTTGTGGCAAAAACTCAATTCCTTTAAGATATAATTTTAATTGATCCCAATATTTCAATTTAAGATAAAAAAGAACTGAATACTCGTCGCAAACTAATGTTTCCAAATCCCTTAGTCGTTGCAAACTTTCATTTGATATAACAGAATTCATATTTTAAGGTATGCAGCAGGTTATACAAATAAGAATATCTATCTATACAATAAAGCTTTTACTCGTATATTGTAGGGTGTATGTAATGTATATATAATAGCTATGGCTGGCCAAACGACTGGACCAAGTGAGCTGACATTTTTTAGGGAACCCAATGTTATACCATTGGGGTAACAAAGGCTAAAAAAAATTCGAAATGAATTTTCTTTCAAGAATCGTATATTTTTTCCAAAATTCTAAATTTGTTTTTACAACGGGCAACGCCGGGCACTTCAGCTACTATATATTCAAAGTATTAATCTCTGTCTATCTAGATGTCCGATCATAACTCATGAACCCCCTTGACCTATTTTCCTCAAATTTATATTGGGAAACTCACTCACTTGAACACTTGAAATTACGGTCTACGTCAAACTTAAACTATTTGATCTAACAAAATTTATTGTTTGAAATATCAAAGATATGTGTACGACGTCGGATTACAAAGATATAGGGATTAAAATATCAGTTTCTGATCACAGAAATCTGATTGGAGGTGTTATATATCTCTGTATTATCTAAACTTTCTTTAAAAATCATAATTTATAGAATGAACAAAACTTTTGCCAATAAATAAAACTCTGCAATGGAACTATTCACTACCTCAAACTTTAATATTGATAATTTTCAGCTGTATTTCTAATCAAAACCTTCAAGAAACGAATTATTTGAATAATTTCTGCAAGATTTAGTATTCAAAGTCAGAAATAACTAAGGTTTGCAGAATCAGAATTCAAAGCTAGAGGGATTCAATTATTTGAGTTTGAGTCCAGTGCTTTATCAAGTTCCTTTATCCAAACTTCCCTTTTCTATGGACAAATTTTTCTTCTAAAGTTTCCTCCCAATGAGAAAAGAGATTAATTAGATTTTCATTAAAGTTTCATTAGATCCTTGTTCAACTAGGATTTTAAAACCGGTTAAAGGGACTGTTAGACGTAACCATTTTAAGAAGGAAAGTCTAAATCACAACGGTATCCTTAAATAAAGCTTAACCTAATCAAGAATAGAATGAATAAGTAATACATAATAATACATGTTTCTAAATAAAATTTGTTTTTAATTGTGGTTTCTCAATTAAGTTGTGCAACTTGCGCCTTCATACTGCAGAAACAATGAAGAAACTTATTAGATATCTTACACATTTTTGAGAAGAAAAATGTTTAAATGGGGGGGGGGGGCACTTGAAATTACAACAATATTCCCTTTAATGATAAATTATGTTTTACATTTTATACACTCCTTGTATTAAGAACTTTTATTTCCCTTTCATCTTCAGAATATTCATCTTCTTCTTGGAAAGCTCTAAAAAAGTTGGGGTTTTATTAAAAAATAGTATTAGTAGAAACAAAAAAGTACTATTAAAGATGTTGTAAGGGATTTTTCGGCCAAAGGAGTTTATATACATGTTTTTTCATAGGTTTTGTTACAGTTACAAAATACAGGGTTACCCACAAAGGATGAGACTTCAGACACGTCTGTACGGAACTTATTAAATACTTTTACTAATTTTCAAAGTTCTCAGCAATGGTAATTTTTTCTCCAAATCTGTTTTAAATGTACAAAGTAAAATTTAATCTGCGGATTGGTATATTGAAAGAGTTTTAGGTCGTTTTTAAAGTCTCATCTTTCTCATTGCTCGATTTCTTTTGTAAAATAAAGTTTAAATTTGTTTTGAAATTTGAAAGTTTTAACAGTATAACACGTGTTTGAACTTTTTCGTATATTGTCTAAAATTTACTTATTTTTGTACAGGTTTTTATAAACGATTTAGATACCTGATAAATTCATCATCAGAGGACTGTTGGTCAGAATCATTAATCTTATCAACCTAGAATAGAGTAGAGTAGAGTAGAGTAGAGTAGAGTAGAGTAGAGTAGAGTAGAGTAGAGTAGAGTAGAGTAGAGTAGAGTAGAGT